TTTGATCGCTACCATAGACATCAGTGTTTATATCCGAACTATAAAACTTTTATCTCAGTATTTCTGTGATAATATATAAATTATTTCAAGACAGAAATAATACTGTGGTTGAAAAGACTGTTTGTGAAGCTGTTTCTTACCCAAACATGGTAACTGCTCTCTCTGTCAACGACAGCACGAAAGCAGATTTGAATGTTTCGGTAAGACTTTTTCGAACGTTTAATAGGGAGAATCGTTGTCATTTAGATGATACTCGACTGCCATTGGCTCATCTGCGTTCGAGGGGAGGGGCTTACCGATAGGTCAATTAGATCGCGTGGGTGTTTGAATTGCGATCTCGATCTTTTAACGATTAATCGTGCAGCTCTACTCTGTAGTGTTTTAACTAATATAGTACAGTACAGTTAAAATGGTTTATTATATTACATATAGTAGTATGCCATAGAGTGATATGGTTTTTAGGTACATATTTAGGTTTATATTCTAGTAAAGTCTGTTTACTGGAATAATACAGTGTAGTTTATATCCTTGGCCATTTAAGACATGAGCTCTTCATTGAGTTTTTAAGAGAAGTGACTTCTGTTTCTTTCTTATATATTTAGAAACCTTATTCTCATCATGAGTTCTTGCTGTTTTACAGTGGGGCTGGATGCTGCCGGCAAAACCACAATACTGTACAAACTCAAACTAGGAGAAATTGTGACCACCATTCCAACCATAGGTAAGAGGACAGGACTGTTTTTGATTTGACTATGATCTCAAAGCAGATCTCATGAGTAGATTGAGGTCATTGTCTTGTGTTGTGTTCTGAGTCATATGAGTATCGTATCATCCCTCTGGTAATTTTTATGAAACTGTAGTACTTGTCTCCTTTTATGATATGTCAACGTCCACTGGCTGTCATCATACATGTGGCTTCAGTGATTGCCTGAGTGTCCTGTCTTACACCACAACATTCAGCCAGTGTTTCATTAAAAAGCAGAACTATTCCACTGAATGTATTGTATATCACTGCATTTCTTTTGGGCAGGTTTTAACGTAGAGACTGTTGAATACAAGAACATCTGCTTCACCGTGTGGGATGTCGGTGGCCAGGACAAGATTCGTCCTCTCTGGAGACACTATTTTCAGAACACACAGGTATGGTCTTGATGTGTATTCATGCAAAATAATATAAGGGCACACTTACTTATTATAGTCCTTGCAGAGACTCATAGCTCTTTCTGTTTTTCCCTTTGTCCTCAGGGTCTGATCTTTGTGGTGGACAGCAATGACAGAGAGAGAGTGGCAGAATCTGCAGAGGAGCTTTCTAAAATGGTAGCATATATCATTGTGATCTTCTCAAATGGCAACCAAGTGCAATGAATCAGGACATTTGTGGAAGTGTTTTGTTTGCTTAATGTGGTTGAGTTGCCTCATCAGTGTCTTTTCCTGTGCGTATGTGCAGTTGCAGGAAGATGAACTGAGGGACGCCGTGCTGCTGGTTTTCGCAAACAAACAGGATCTGCCTAACGCCATGGCTGTCAGTGAACTCACAGACAAACTTGGGCTGCAGAGTCTACGCAGTAGAACGGTAACACCAGCATGCACTACATACTCTCTAAGATTTTTTTTTTTTTAAAGAAGTCTCTTATGTTCACCAAGGCTGCATTTATTTGATCAAAAATACAGTTAAAACAGTAATATTGTGAAATAATTTTACAATTTAAAATAACAGTTTTTTTATTTTGATACATTTTAATGCAATTTATTCCTGTGATGCAAAGCTGAATCTTCAACATTATTACTCCAGTCTTCAGTGTCACATGATCCTTCAGAAATATGCTAATATGCTGATTTGCTGCTCAAGAAGTATTTCTTATTATTTTCATTGTTGAAAACAGTTGTGCTGCTTAATATTTTTGTGGAAACTTTTTGTAGAGAGTTTTTTCAGTTCAAAAGAACAGTATTTATTTGAAATTGAATAATAGAATAGTCTCAACTGTCACTTTTCGTCCATGGTAATGCATTCCTGTTAAATAAAAGTATTAATTTGTTTCAAAGAATAAAAAATAGAATCTTCCCAACACTGAACTCGTGAACAGAAGTAAATATGCCAGACAAAAACGCTGCTACTATTGCTTTTATCACATTATCTTGGTTTGTTAGTCTGTAGGGATGTAACGATATTATCAATATCGAAATATCACGATACCAAAACTGTCTCGATATTATCGTGGTCACATGACGATATGAAACGCTCTTCTGGGCAAAAAGTGTTGTTTTTAAATATATATTTAAACTTCTTATTCTACCATAAAAGGTCTTTAAAGTTGTGTTTTGGGCCATTATGCTTTGACATGGTATCTGTCAGACGAACTAAAACCGAAAGCACAATATAGCTTAATCCCTTCATCAAGTCTGTTTGCACTGCGTGTTTCAAAGCAAAGCGCGCACTTCATTTGGCGTTTTCTGCGGCTCAAAACGTCTCCGTTCACAGTGAATGCAGTGAACTCGTTTATTGCACGTGCTGTGAGTTTAGCGCGTGTTTGGGAACGCAACAGCCACCATTTAGGCTTTATTTTCGTGGCAGATGATTACAGCATTTCACTAGATTTGTAGTGAGACGCGTTTTTTGTAAGCCTGTTACTTACACTTACGGTCTACTGCCGTTTCTGTCAAAATAAAAGCTTAAAAGTGCAGTATGAATTGCTGACAGCTAGCGGTTTAAATGCAGTCCAAATTCAAAATATCTCTTTCAAGTGTAGAAATTAGGAAAGAAGTATTGTAATTTCCCTACTGTAGTGTAAAGCAAAAATAATATACCTATGAAATATTAATTTTCATTTATTTTACAGTGCAGTTGTTTTACAATATATGGCTATTACTGTCATTGTTATTATTATTATATTCTAATTTGTTTGGCTTCCTAAAACACCAATGTGAATGTAATTTAGACTGAGACTGTATACCACAAATAAAAAGAGGGTCGAGTCCCCTTTAAAGTTCAGGTACAAGTCAATTCACTGACTTTTTTCTAACCTAAGTTTTCTTAGCTAACATTTCTTTTCCCAATCCTTCATTTGTCTTTTTTTTAAATATCTCAATAAACATCGTACCGTGGACTTCACATCGCGATATTATCGTGAGATTTTGATATCGTTACATCCCTATTAGTGTGACTTCTCAAAAATTGACTGATACAGATTGAAGTGTTTACATGACATTTAAAAAAAGATCAATTATTTCTTAAAGAGTGATTAAAATCAAAATTTTAAAGTGCATGCTCACTCAAAAAAAAAAGGTACAAACCTGTTACTGGGGTGGTACCCATTTAGAAGATACTAATATACAGCATTTAGGGGTAAATAAGGTACAAAGATTTACCTTTTAGATTTTGTACCTTAAAGGTGCTGTATGTTAACATATTATGGTATTTTTATGCTTTAGTAGAGTCAAAAACGTACATACAGCACCTTTAAGGTATCGCCCCAGTGACAGCATCGTACCTTTTTTCTAACATACTTGGTGAATGGAGTGTGGTCTGCTTTTCTTTTTCTTTTTGTTGATTTATTTATTTATTTTTTCTGTCTGGGCTTCTTGCAGTGGTATGTCCAAGCGACCTGCGCTACACAGGGCACTGGACTCTATGAAGGACTGGACTGGTTATCCAATGAGCTCTCCAAGCACTAGTGAGGCTGTTAGGGGTGAGATGGTATGTATGAACCAATGGAAAGGCTAGAGACTCCTCTTAGAATTTTTAAGTGTGTGACAGCTGGAAACTGGGGAGAAACCATCAAACACTCTGCACCTGTCTTAGCTTTCCTTTTCTACAATATATTTCTTTGCCCAAGGTTATCTATTTTTTTCTTATTTCTTTTTTGTTTTAAATCCAACAAAAATAACTTTTTTTTTGTCATTTTGCGAGAGGAAAAATGTTTTGAAGGACCTTCTTTCGCTATGGCTTTTTCAGTTTCTCAGAAAGTCCTCATGCAAAACCAAAAACGCTGGAGTCCCTGATCAGTGAGCAGAGTTATTGGTTTTGCTTTAGTCTGATCAGCATAGTTTATCTGAGAATTTGTTGTCAAGCTCACTGGAGAATCTCTGGGGTTAGTAATATTTCAGAACTGGACTTTACATGTGGAGTCGTTTGGCGAATCAAAGCCATGCCTGTTGCAAGCTGTAAAGTTTGTTACATTGCATTATCCGCTGTAGTGGCGTGGAGTCCTGTGGTCCTTCTAAACATTATCCTTGTCTGCATGAGTTTAAGTCTTCTGGGTCTTGGTTTAAATTCCCCTCATCAATAGCACATGGCATGAGTGGCATGAAAAGGTTAAGTTTCTTTTATTAGGTTAGTTTATTTCCACACAATCCATTGTTGTTTGTGGCAAATGTCTGAGTGACCCAGAACACTGATGTTCTTTAGCCACAATGACACAGTGAAGTTCTTTCCATTATAATTTAAAGTTGAAATTGATTGACGTGTTTTATGTTTGTCATGCCATGTGAAATGTTTCGCTCAGTCGTGTTTCTTGAGCTTATCATTATTTGTGTCTGAATCTGACTGCTGAATGCAGGTTTAATGTATTGATGAATTCCATGTCTGGTTGAAATGGTTTGCTTTTCCTAAACTGATGTGTAACAACAAATACAATCTATTTTACCCTATTATCATGACAAATTTGTTTGTGTATTATATGTATCATATTGTTTTAGAATAAAACATAATCGTGAACTTATCATCGTGTTGAATGTGATAAATCTATTTTGCTCCTTAAATGCAGACTTTTAAGTTCATTTGTCCCACTTTTTGGGAGCAAAAAGTTCTAAGCTGCATTACTGCATCAGTCCAGCAGATGGCACCTGGAATTAAAAACTCCAGTCAACTGAACAGTACCTTAATTACTACAGATAAATAACTAAACCATAGCTAACAATAAGATAATTGTGATGAAAAGCTATATTTGATTACCTCTATAAATGTTTCTGTTTGAAGAGTGTGTATATACTGTATATGTGTACATACATAAATATGCATACTGAGTGGTGTTTGAACTCAAACTACTTGCATTGAGTAATTACATGAGCTATTGTCAATTTTTGAGAAGCAGAGAAATTGAGTTGTGCAATGCCTTTAAATGATGTATCATCATGGTTCAATATTTAACATTTTGCTAATTTAAAATTATGCAAATTTAGTAAATTTGGTAAAGGGCTTAAATAATATGATGTACTTTGCCCATCCCTATCCATAAAGTCTACAAGTCATAAAAACATTAGTGCATGCAATGAGAAACTTACTAAGAAATGAAACTAAGAGCAGAACAGGTATTTGTCACCATTCACACAGCCAGAGCTGTAAACATCACTGATACCACAGGAGCCGCCCTGTTGCGTGTGTTTGTCTCTTATCAATCATGATTAGATTTGGGTGTAGAGATCATTCCAGGGCAAGATCTGTCCAAATAAATTACAGGAGGCACCAGTTAAATGTCTTTCAGGTACATTTTCGGAGTACAAAGTTTATGAACTGCAACCCCATTATTGTTATCAACTGCAATCCCATTTGGTGATCTTGATATGTTTGTGTTGATTGTTTCGTTAGAGGAGATGGAGTTGAGATGATCCTGCTCCTAAGGGCAGAACATAGCAGGTTTTGTTCTACTTTGTGACTTTGGTGGCACTTGTTATGTGAAGATATACACACACAAAAACATGGACATGATTTGAAAAGTAAAAAAAAAAAAGGGAATTACAAAGAAAATATGTAAGAATTTTTTTTGAGAAACAGCGTGGAGAGCTGTGCAAAGCTCTAAATGATTCACTAAAGTCACAAGTTAAGCATCACATTACACTCAAGTTTCCCCACCTACATTTCTACCAGCCCATGTTTTCAGTATTCTCAAGCATTTCAGTGATCTGAACATAAAAAGAGTGAAAGCAATTGGTCAGAAACACATGTTGTCTCAGCAAAGATAAGAGTGACTTTTAGTAGATGTTTAAAAGATGTTGGATGTTTAAAAACAAAAATACTGTGTCATTTACCAAGAAAGCAACCCTTCCTGTAAAGCAATGTTTCTCAACTCCAGTCCTTGGGACTGACCTCCCAGAATGTTTTAGATGTCTTGCTAATTAAAACGCCTGATTCAGCTCATCAACCTCTTAGTTTGTTGAATGAGGGAGACACCTAAATCATTCTGGGAGATCAGATGGGTCCCAGTCGAGGTGTGGAGTTGAGAAACAGAGCAATGGGCAGATAGAAGGTCAGAAAGCAAAACTTAGGGAAACAAGGGCAACAGCTGTTCACAGATCAAGCATGTGTACCAGTATAAATTACACACAGACCAGAGCCTTCTGCTGACAGATCAACAAGGTAAGACAACTAGTTACTGTATAGAGTTCTAAATTAATCTTCTCAAAATTATTATATAAAAAGCGTTTCTATCATCACAGATTAGTGATTTTGTAATGCAATGTTTATTTTGGTGTTTTTTTCAATGTGTAACCTGAAACTGAATCATCTTAACAGGTCTATGGTGTTTCCTCTGTGGGAGACGCTGCAGAACCTTGACTGGTCTCATTGTACTAATGTGTGAGTATATTGGATTTTTGGGGGGTTTGCTGTTAAAGACACTAGTGAACTAAACAAACAAACCTTACAATGTTACATCCATGGATTCCATTCAAACACATGACTTAGTCATATCTTTTTGGTAATGGGCATATAATTGATATTAATCCTTTTTTATAAATCTTACAATTTGTCAGGATACCTTTTATATGATTTTACTTTGCTTACTTGTATATTGTTTATGCCTTTCTTTCTCTTGTATTTGTGAAGCTTACTTTAAAGGTGCTATAATAAGAGTTTTTTTAACTACTTTATTAAAAATCTCTGCATTTCCTATAGATAAATGGCTTTCCTGTTTGTTCTAGCATCATGAAGGAGAAGGAGTTCATGTAAAACCATGCTACCAGGGGTGAGGTCATCTGGCCCAGCGCCATTCAGGGGATCCATGACCTTTGTTTTGCGTTGATGTCTAGATGCTCAGAGGTCAGCACCTCAGTGCTGTGCAGTCTGTGATATTATGTGAAGTCTTGAGTCTCCTTTGAAGTACTTCTAGTTTCAACATTCATATGAAGTCTGATGCAACATCTGAAGTCTACTATGAAGTCTATTATGAAGTTAAGAAGTATTATGAAGTCTATATGAACTGTACAGTCTACAATGAAAGTCTAGTTTTCAATGAAAGTCTACTATACTTTGAAAGCCAACTATGCACTGTCTAGGTGACAATGAAAGTGTACTACTACGAAATGTCTAGTTTACAATGAAAATTTACTATGCTTTGAAAGTCTACTACGAACTGTCTAGTTTACAGTGAAACTACTATGCTTTGAAAGTCTACTACGAACTCTTTAGTTTACGATGAAAGTCTACTACGAGCTGTCTAGTCTACAATGAAATCTCAAAGTCTTGTTGGAAGTGTAATGCAAACAACCAACCAACCAGGAAAAAAAACAAAACATTCCAGTGCATGTAATGCTAAAGGTGAACCAAGAAAACGCTAGATGACACATTGTTGGCGTTTAAATAATGCTACAAATATGAACCAGGTAAAGAAGTGTATTGTCCTACGCCTTTTTTTGGTGAAACTTTCGTTTCTGTATTATTGGTTCGGCTGGTCAGGGGGCCCGCTGATAAAACAAAAAGCCCTGAAAAATCTAATAAAAATCCATAACAAAAGTTCATTATTGTTCTTTGTTTATTTTTGTTTGTTTCCCAATTTTTAATTTATTGTTTGTGTTTTGTTCTAATTCTTTAGTTTAATTCTTTCTGAATTTTGTGTCATGTTTGGCTTCATTAAAGCATTCTGAGAAATGATGGTCCATGAAATGAATGCAATGACAGAGAGAGTGAGTGGCAGAATCTGCAGAGGAGCTTTCTAAAATGGTTATTTTATGTTACTTCCTCGATTCTTGAGACAAAGACACTTGATAATGAGATCATCTGCATGTTTAACCCGAAGCCCCGTTGTTTTGATAAAATTCCATTAAATAACATTAATAATGAATAGTACATTTGTTACTATATTTATTAATCTTTGTAAACGTTTTCATTGTTAGTTCGCATTAACTCGGGTATTACTGTTCACAGATACAATTTTAATTTCGATAATGTATTAATAAATGTTTAACGAGCTAATATTAATTGATGCTTTAGAAGTATATTGTGCATTGTTAATTCATGTCAACTAATATTGTTAACAAAAGGAAACTTATTGTAAAGTTTTAACCAGACTAATATTGTAGGAGGACATGTAAAGGCAACTGCAGAATTTTTTTAAAAAGTTTTTATAAGTCAAAAAATTCCAAAGAGTAATTCGTATAATTTTTATACTGTCATTATACTTCACAGAAAAGAGGGAGAGCGTTTTATTGAGTTGTTTATGGGTTATTTTATTATTTGCTGTTTTGAACCTCTGTGCTTTTTGTCAGCAATTTGACATGCAGTTTACAAACTGCAAAAACAGACATTTCCCAAAATCTTCTTTTGTGTTTCACAGAAGAAATACATTCATAAAGGTTTGGAAATGACATGGTAACTTTCATTTTTGGATGAACTGCTATCATCCAAATTTATGAACATTATCCTTCTAACCACTTTGCTCAGTAAGGACTGATAAACAGAGACCAGCAGCAGAATCAAACATAACTTGCTTATTCTGTGTCCAAAGTAAACAAAACCTGGTGCAACCAGAAACCTTGCTGAAGAAAAGGCTAAAAAAACAAAGCAACAATAAGGTCTCATTTGTTAACATTAGTTATTACATTACCTAATAGTGAGCTAACAATAAGAAATACACCTTTACAACATTTATTAATTTCTGATGTGAATTCATGTTAGTTTCAGTGCTTTAACTCATGTTAACAGATACAACTTTAAATTAGTTAATGTTAAATTTAGGATTAAATGGTGTAGAAGTAGTCTTCATTATTAATTCATGCTAACAATTTAGATAATGTTAACAAATATAACTTGATGATAAAGTGTTACAATGATTATTAATACTGATAGTATGTGAACTTTCAGGTTTCTGTGTTGTCATTTTTGGGAAATAGTGTTAAGGAGAGCATTTTAACCAGACCCAATTTTCAATATTCTCAAATAATGTTTAGAGTAAAATGAAATTTCAGAACATATAAATGGATGCAAAACAACTGGTCAGAAACATGTGTTGTCTCTACAAAGGTAAAAGTGAGTTAGATTCATTTTAAAAGGCTCAAAGAAAATGCTGTGTCATTCAGTAAGAAACATCAACAAAGCCTTTCTGTAGAGGGAAGGATCAGAAACTTACTGAGAAAATGAAACTTATGAAAATAAGGGCAACAGCTGTTCACAGATCAGATGAGGGCGGGGACAGCACCAGTATAAATTACACACAGACCCACTGATCTGTCCTTTCCACAGCCTTCTGCTGCCAGATCAACAAGGTAAGACAGCATAGAGAACATATCTCACAATTATTATTATTATTATCATGATTATTATTTAGAAAAACATGTTTTCTGTCATCGCAATTAAATGATTTTGTAATGCACATTTTATTTTGGTGGTTTGTCACTGTGTAACCTGGAAACGGAATAATCTCAACAGATTTCATGGCGTTTCCTCTGTGGGAGATGCCGTGGAGACTTGGCTGGTCTTGTAACAATAATGTGTGAGTATATTATATATTTTTCAGACTTTTTTTGAGCTACTGTAAAAGACAGGGAACTAAAAATAAACCGCCCAATGTTATATCCAATGATGTCATTCAAATGCATTATTCAGTAATTATTCAGTTGTTAGATAATTTATATTTGACACAATCTGCATTTCCTGTAGCTCAATGGTTTTGTTGTTTGTTCTAGCATCATGAAGGAAGCAGTTTATGTAAATCCTTGCTGCCAGGGGTGAGGTCATCTGGCTCAGTGCCATTCAGAGGGGAAACCCATTTGTTGGTGCTGGTGTCCAGATGTGCAGTCTGCTCCGTGTGACGCCTGACAACCTGCACGTAAAGCCTCAAGTCTAAGACAAATGCTACAAAGCCAAGAACTGACCACAAGAAAACCAATGCATGTGATGCTAAAAGTGAAGAAGCGAAATTTTTGTGAAACCTTTGGTTTCTGCATTGCTTGGTTTGGTTGGTCCGGGGCCCAACTGACAAAACAAAAAGCCCCGGAAAAAAAAAAGTAAAAAAAAAAAATCTAAATAAAAATAGTAAAATCTGCAACAGAAATTCATATTGTGTTGTGTTTATTTTTGTTTATCTGCCCATGATTGATGATGAATTTACTAACCATAGCACTTCTTACACAGGCCACTGAAAGATTCTTTAGACACTGTATAAAAATAGAATATAAAAAATAAATCAGTGGTGAAACAAAGAATATATAAGTAAGTGGTAACACATTACAATAAGGTCCCATTAATTAAGAAAGGGCAATACATTTGTTACAGTGTTCATTAATCTTTGTTAGCGTTAGTCTTCATATACAACTCATGATTTTAATAATGAAGTAAATGTTGAAATTGATATTAACTAGGATTAATATAATTCAGCCATACATTTTCTTGCCGTGAAAATAGCCACAGAAGCTGGCATGGCGTTAAACACAAACAAACAAACAAACAACTACACTGATTAGCGATATCTATGGACTTTTAAGATAATCAGTTAAACTAGCTAGCTGTTTTTATTGTTGACGTTTTATTCCATTTTTATATCTAAATGTGAAAAGAATGAAAATAAAAAAAACTTTTAGATATCAGTCCGCATATGTGATGGACATTGGTTATGATCATCATTGGTATCTACTTTGAAGGCATCTTGAGGAAAACTGCTTCATATTTAACTAAGCATATGCAAAACGCTTGAACCGGAAGCGACGAGACCCGGTTAACAGAATACGGAAGTCTTTTGCGCATAACCCCTATTACATGATAAATGATATAATTGAGAACATCTGAAACCCCTTACAAGTAATGTTTTACTTTCACTTTCGTTTCTGTGAAAATATCTCTTCTAATGTGTCTGCACCGGACTGGCTGCTGCATAGTTATGTTCTTTGAGGAGGTGTGAGCAGTTTCTGTAGGAAGAGTATAAATAACCAATGAAGATCCACTTCACATGAACTGCACTACGCTGCTCTGAACCTTAAACAAATCATCAGCATGATAAGTTTTTATTTATTTATTTTTTATTAATTATTCCCTTCAAGAAAAGTATATGGTAAAATATTATTATTATTGCAAACTAGCAAGTATGCACATTTTTAATAATTTGTGTGAGTCAATATTTATGTGAAAACTTTTTGAAGTGATGTGCAATGATGTTTAGCATGAAGTAGAAGTTTGCATTTTTAAATTATATTATCATCCTTAGCTTTAACTTTTCCTTTTCAGCAACTATTTCGAATCACACATTTAAGTATGATTTTAGGTTTGACATGATGTTGCAATAAATATCACTTAATCTAAATCTTTCATGTATGTATAAACTCAGCTTTAGATAGATTTATAGATAGATAGATTGAGGATAATAGACAGATAATACTATTGCAAGTGTCACTGCAGATAAAATACATTTAAGGACATATGCACTGATGTGTCTTGTAGGAATAACTGACACTATGGTAAGGGCATCTGCTATCATATTATAGCAGAGACACGGACAGTTTAACTATACTGTATTTTAAGTTAACTCTTAGTTTGTGCATGGCACCTTAAGCTGAGATCAAAGTTCAGACTATTGTTATATATTCACCCCACCTCTGTAGAGAATGTGTTTATGTAAGAGGGTGTGCCAGATTCCTCAGGGTAAAGGATGGGTGGATAACTCAAACTTACTTGCTATATATAAATTGATAATCTGCAAGTAAGATAATAAAATAATAACTTAATTCAATATCACCATTTATTTATTAGTCAAGTAGCTATGTATTAGATGAGAAAATGCACCCCATAACTATGACAGCATAAATAAAAATAAGACATTTAAGGTTCATAAATATGCATTGCATTGTTTTCTTCAATCCACAGTCCTAAATGAAATTAAAACACTCTGCATTGTACTGTATTGTGCAATATTCTGCAACCTGCTCTTATTTTTATATTTATTTAATCCATTTTAAAAAAAAACTACAGACAGGATTGTTTTTCAAAAACATTCAAGTGTTGATCTGAATTACAAAGACTAAATGTTTGAAAATGAGATTTGGTCTGTCCTTTTGTCACTTTGTTAAATTGATAATAAAGTGTGTTATATAAGGTGTGTTTTCATACATTTTATATTTACTATTTTATGTTTTAGAATTCTTTGCCTTTTGATATGGTTGCAATGAACAACTGAAATTAATGAATTATTATATTTGGTTGAACAATTAGGTTAAATGAACATTAAGTTTGGTACTGACCTTACTTTTATAAATCCACTTTAAAAAAGTGTCTGGGTCAGTAAAATGTAATTGCGCCAACAAAACGTTATATTCTAAGTAAATGAAACGTAACTGAGTCAAAGCAAAAAGATAACTCAATAAATTAAAATATTAAGTCAACATTTTATTACAGTGTATCTATTTGAGCAACAGCGTTTGTTCTCCATCAACAACAGATCTTATCCGAGGGGAGTGATGAGGGGGATGATGATGACGATGATGAAGAAGATGATGGAGGTGCTGGAGTAAGTGTCTGCTGCCAAGGGTAGACAACTGCTCCAGACCTTGATGCAGCCCGTGTTGAGAAAGACCCAATAGCACGCTGGATCAAACAAGCTGTGTGCAATTGCTGATACAAGCCAGCAGCAGCCAAAGCAATCACACAGCTTCAGTTGTGACAAACGTCACAACCCAAGTATCTCCCACGCCATGTGTGTCCATGGCAAACTTGACACGTAGACAATGATTCCTCCATGGAAAACGATGGATCTCGCAACTTTCCCGCTGTGCAGTGGCAGCACCATCGCTTTTCTTCAGAACGGCTCTGCTTTCCTGTCTGTTTGTGCAACCCTGAAGAAACCATGGAGAGAAGAACGAAATGTTCATGGAGAGGTGATCCCCCATGAGAGCTGCTGGTCCAGAGGTTGGAAGATTTGAGCCAGTTTTTTCTGTGATCACAATCGTCCTCAATCAGCATTGTGCCATCGAGCAACGCACATGACTCCAAAGCAGGACTGACTGTTTCTGCAAAAGGTCTACAGTAGTCAACAATCCATTAAAATACAAACAGAGAATGGGCTGGATGGGCATTTTGTAGATGTACTAATGGATGCATGTTGCTCACATATTTACAGGGAGGTCTCGCCCTTTTGAAGCCCAAGTGTATTTGTTGTAAAGATATATTCAGACTATGGCTGCTTGGTCCAAATAGCTCTCCAGTAAAACTAGCAGAAGGTTTCTGGAGCAGCGGATCAGGGTTAGAGGTAAAAGTCCACTGTTTTGTTTTTTTTTTCTTTCTTTTTTGATGTTCTTTTACCTCATTTTGATGCCACGTCAACGCCGCTCAGCCATAGAGAGCGTGATCAGAGCGAGATGACATGTTCACCAGAATAGGTTTCACAGGCACACCGGTTCTGCAGGTTGTGCTGACTTGGTTGAATCCACTGGTTCAGATATCTTATTAACAATACACAATATGACACACTGCTGAATTTCATGCACAGGTGTTATCGCAGTGCTGTTGAACAAAAGTTACACAACATAGGTAACGTACCTGTAATGAGGTCTAATCAAAGGACCTATTAATGTCTAGCCAGAAATGAAGCCCGATAGATGTGACACAACATCAAAGGACATCATATATTGAGCACTTGTAGTTTTCTTTGTTATGTGGCGAGGGCATCGATAGCAAGTGGTCTGTTTAGTTTTACCGTGATGTTCTTAGAAATGTCATGAATGCAGATGGATTTCTGTGCATTAGTCTGCCTAAATGTATTGCTTTCTAATAAGCTACACGATAAACTCCCCAATTATATGTTGCGGAAAACCTGCCCCCCCAAAAAAAACCTTGTGTACGTGTGTGTGTTTGTGTGTACCTGATGGAGCCAAACTCTAGTTTCATATTTTAAAGGTATGCATTGTGTTTTGGCTATACATTTTTAAAACTCTGGGCTAAATTAGAGCATTCTGGGAAATTATTAATAAATTCTGTTATTTTAGTGTTATTTACATACTAATATCAGATCTACCAATATTCTGAATTAGCTTTTATTTTTATATTTTCAGTTTTCATTATAATTTTAGATTAGATTTGAGTGATTATTTCTATGTCGCTTTAATTAATTTTATTTCAGTTTTAGTTAACAATAACAAGACTGGTTAATTCATAAACATAATGAAAAATACTGTATATAAATTATATTTCAATCAGTAAATTGTAGTAAATAATTCTATAAATGAAACAGAAGTTCTATGACTGACATTGTATTTAATTGATTGTTCATATTAACTAATGTTTCTGGATATATCCTAAATCTGTTGTTTTCATATTGAAAAATGAAATGTATTACCAGTTATATGAATTTCTTTGCATTTTGTTTCATCTCAGTTCCTCATAAATTCAAATTTAAAAGGCTTTCTCAATTCAATTGTTAATGTCACAACCCTGACTTATTTAAGACCAACTTTGCAATTGTTTTCTTTTTATATAATTTCCTTTAATTATTTAAAATGTGCATGAGAAACAGTTGTTTATATGTATATTGTATGTACAGACTGCTGGACTCAGAACATGTTATATGAATCATGAATGTCTAATGTGTATGAGACACATAAGAAAAATGTATACTAGTTAATGTAGTGAATTTATGTTAACAAACAAAACCTTATTGTAACGTTACCACAATTTCTGTTCTGTTGTTGTTCTGAACCGAGAAAGAGATGCAAAGCATTGGTCAGAATAAAATTTGTTAAATCGGCAAAGAAAAGATTGACTAATTTTAGTGAATGTTTAAAGGGCTACCTGTGGGATGGGCCGACAGAAGATCAGGAATTGACTAAGAATGCAAAACATCAGGAAACAAGGGCAACAGCTGTTCACAGATCAGATGAGGGCGGGAGCCTTGTGCTGACAGATCAACAAGGTAAGACAACTAGTTATAGAGATAAATTTACAAAAATTTATTTCCTTAAAGTTTTCATAAAGTGTTTTCAATCATCACAATTAAAAGATTTTGTAATGCAAATTTTATTTTGGTGGTTTGTCACTGTGAAACCTGAAAACTGAATCATCTTAACA